ATCACAGCGAGCGTGAACAATACCAAGAAGCAATACCCTTTGCATGGTGAAACAGTCACATCGCAATACAATATTTCCGGGCATCAACTTGTTCTCAAGTTCAGTTTTTGGAACCAGATACAAAAGGCAAAAGGAGCAGAAAAAGTCCTGTTTCTTATCACATTCGTATCTTCCTCTTCCTCCAGGGAAAGGGGTGGGGGAAGGATTTGGCATTATATTCACAGCTATCCTAGAAGGTAGGTTGGGCTCAGGTATAGTGACTTGCATAAGGCGGCAGCAGTGAGCAGCACAGGAACATAGGAAGCTGCCTTAGATAGAAACAGACCCACTGACCCTTCTAGACCAGTATTGTCTACACAGACAGGGAGCCTCTTGCAGCCCTACGTGGAAATGCCAGGGACTTTCTGCATTCAAGGTAGATGCTCTACCACTGAGTTACGCCCTTCTCCAGCATGCTTGAGAGGAGTTGAAACAAGCCCCACTCCCCAGCCCAGAATGTGCAAGAGAGAAAACAGAGCAAGTAGGCCCTTTGCCAGAGGAAGAAACAAATATAAGTAATCAGTAGCTATGATACCTACACTGCTAGGAGTTCTGCTATGAGTGAAAAGTGCTTTATAACAAGACAGTTGCTTCAGGCTACATTTGTTATGAGAGTTCAGATCATACGGTCCACCTAGCCCAGATATACTGAGCTATAGCTCCTCCCAGATGGTATGTCCCTTCCTTTCCCCACGGACTGGGAGAGCCCCCCGGCGGTAGCAGGCGGGGGGCTTGAAGCAATAGCCGCACAAGTGAAAAGGCCCCCTTTTGTTGGCTGGCACCACTCAGAATGGACCACATATGACTTCCTTTATTCCAGTTATAAAAAAATCAAATATATATTTAACTGGTTAAAATGCATTTTTGGAAGGCATGTATTTTTTTAAAACACCAGGCCTATGCAACCACTTTTTGTTCTGCTCTTGTGATTTTAAGACATCCCACAAGGAATGTTAGTTCAAGACAAAAATCTCTGTTATACAGAAACACTTGTTATCTGGAAGCTGCCACCAGCATGAGGCTTTTCAGACTTGGAAGCCTCACCAAAGCCACATGAGCAATTTGGACAGCGTCAGCCCAAAACTACGCAAGAGGCTGAAGTTGCCAAGAGCTGAGCTAGGATTTAATGATTAGGGAAAGCACAGGAGTCTATAAATAAACCCAATTAATGTGAAGTCACTCCCCACTGCCAAGGAAAAGGCCGACTAGTTAAACACAAAGAATTCCTAAAGGTGCTACGTATTTAGCAGACCTGCAAATTATTGCCCTTTTCAAGCTATAAATTTATATTTAGAACTCAAGAACTTCTATAATTAGAACTCAACTTCCAAGGAGAAGGAAATGTGGAAGCAAGCAATTTGCTGTTTTGACCATATCATAGTTACACAGGATGTCATATGCTGATTGAAGTGGCTAAACCAACAAAATAAATATAAATCGAATCACACTGTGTCAAGAAGAATATCATAAAAGCAGAAAAAATACATAATAAAATTCTGTTATCCATACAGCAATCTTCATCATAGGTTTGCAGACGTGACTGACGTAGTTTTGCTGACAGGGAGGTAGGAAGTGTGGTGTAGCAATTAGAAGTGCTGGACTAGTAGCTGAAAGATCAGAGTTCAAATCGCCACTCACTGGGTGACCATGGGCCAGTCACTGCCTCAAAGCCTAACCTATCCCAGAGAGTTATTGTGGGGATTAAAGGAGGAGGGGGAGAACTGGGGACACCACCTTGAACTTCTGGGAGAAAAGGTGGGACATAAATGTAATAAAACAAACAGACAATTGCACATTGTCAATTGAGATGTTGCCGCCTAAACCGCTTCCACCCAGAGTGACATGGTGGATATATCCCTCGGATACCCATAAAACTGATCATCATTGTGCTTCAAAAAACACTCAAAACCTCTCTCCAAATTCAGCTGAGCCATAACAAGGAAACAGAATGAGATGACGTTGGCCCAATTAAGGGCAAGTGTGGAAAAGGAGCCTCCGAATGTTTCAGAGAAAAGAATGCATTCTTCTTGCAATAGGGAACCTGGTCTGCATTCTTTATAGCAGTGCTGGTGAGCTGGGGAAACCTGGCTTTTAGCAACCTGTGAACATTTCGGTCTTACATCACCCTTACTTCACCCTGCTTATTCATCAGCCGGGTGAGTTATATAATGAGCGTGAAGAAGCAGTTGGGACACATCATGCCAGCCTTCCCCAACCTCCGGATGTTTTGGACTACAACTCCCAGCAGCCCCAGCCAGCATGGCGGGATGCATTCTGGGGCTGATGGGAGTCGGGGAAGGCTGCATTTTGCTATCTATATTAACTAAAGACTCGAGGGAAGGCAAGCTGAAGCTGGCATTTAGACTCAAGGCTGAGAATTCTAGGGAACAAAGGTTATACGTTGGGGTCAGGCTTTGTGACCTGGGCCCCATTCTCATGCCCAGCGTGGAAAAAAACAACTGTAAGTTAGGTAAATGAACTGCAGAAAGGGGGAGGGAACTCCTAAAAAAAAATACTCGCTGGCTAAGTTTAAGAAATAAAATGGGTGAGAAACATGTGGATCTGCCGATGTTGTTGGATTTGACCCCCTCCCCAATCTCTGACCATCATTTGCTATGCTGAGTCGTGCTGATGGGAGTCCAATAACACCTGGAGGGTTACAAGTTCCCCAAACTAGGTCTTAAGCCAGAGGAGTGCAAGGAGTGCCTTCTTTTGGATGAGCAGGCACTTCCCTTTGCCTTCTCTCCCATCACCCCTTATTCTGCTGAGGGCTGCATACACACCAAATGAACCCCTAACTGAACTCAGTGCCAAAAGGAACCCAAATTCTGTACACAGAATTATGCAAGTTACTAACTTTGCATAATCTGGTCTATGTGGCTTGGGAAGCCCAGCCAGATGGGCGGGGTATAAATAATAAATTATTATTATTATTATTATTATTATTAGTAGTAGTAGTAGTAGTAGTAGTTTATTGCCAAGAACTGGAGCGGAAAGAGGAAGAAGTGGGGGTAGAACAGGCAAGGAGAATGAGGCTTACTGATGTGAGGTGAGAATATTCTCTGCTAGAAAATTATCCAGAGAATATTCTCCACAAACTGTAAATTCTAATGTAAGAACCAGTTTTACAACCCACATTTAAAAAATCTAGTAAATACGTCAAGCTGTGATACTGCCAGTGTAAGTAATGAATACTGATTTTTTTTATATCAAGTTACATTACTGGGCATTGTGTCATTCACCACTGGCAGTTCTGAAATGTGAGCTACAGAAAACATTTATTTTTTTTTAGTTTTAAAAATGCTATTCATTTAATTTGATGAACATTTGAATTTGTATGTATTTCAACTATATATAGTAGCCTTTTTTTCTATTTTGGTGTGACCTTATTCTTAGCAATTCTATACCCGTGGCCATACAGTGTGATTTTTTTTTTTTTTACAGAAAGTAGCTTTAATGCTTTATACACTTAAAGTACCTAGGCCTATACAATTATGTGTAACAGCATGTGAGGTGGCCTTGATTTAAACAGCTGACATTTCTATATTTTTATTTAGTGTCAGTAACTGGTTTTTGCAGTGCTATTCAATGGTACAAGGTGCCATTTACCAGAGACTGACATACTGAAATATATTATCATATAATGATAATATATTTAATGTTAATGGCTTCTTTTTGGTATGTTTGCATATATATAGTTTTGTTTATCAAGCTGTGTTTGAGTCACCAAAACAGTTATTGTTAGAGCTATTAGAAGCAAAATATAGCCTATTACTGAATTTACTTGTATCAAACCTTAACATGCCAATTGTATTTTTTGACTTGTCTTATAACATGTACATGTTCTAATGGAAGAATAATATATGATTTAACTACTGAGTTTCCTTATACCAAACCTTAACATGACAATTACTGTTGCCATCACCTTAGAATGGTTTAACTTTAACTATAAAACATGTTTTATTTTTTAATTTGATACTTGCAAGTGACAAGTGGGCTTGTGCTTATATATTTTCACTGTGGTTCCTTTACTAAATCAAAGAACATGAATTCACTGCATTGCCCCACTAAATAAAAGTATCTGTACAGTCTTTGGTTGCCATCTGAACAAGTTTACCCATGAATAAACATGTATATTAACTAATTATATCATTTTCAATGCATTAAAATTATATCATTTTCAATGCATTAAAATGAATAGTCTCCTATTTTAAATGAAAACTCTCTAATATTCTCATTAATCGAGAATATTCTTGAGAATATTCTCCAAAAGATTATTCTCGAGAATTTAACATCACTAATGGGGCTAAGTGGTTATTAAGAGCTTGGAAAAAAGGACCAGTAGCCTTGGAATGGAGACATGGGAGAGCAGATGGGAGAAGCTCAGTTAGCACCAGACTACCTCTCTAGTAGTTTAAGGTGATTAACAATCAACGTATAAAAGAAACAGAAGTGCCAGTTCATGCATGGAGTCCAAGAGCAAAAAAAGAGGCTTAAACGTAGACAGTAAGAAACCAGATGCTGCTTGTGAACCCAAACCCAAAGTTACTGAGAACAAAGCAGAAGCCAAGATGGCTACTGGTTCACTTTAAAAATAATAATAAATGGAGCAGGGAGTCTCTCATGAGGCTCCATTCTGACAGATTTTACATCGTAAAACACGTTGCTTACATAGATTCCCGACTTTCTACAGTGCAAAATCTTCAAAGAACATGTCTGAATCAAACATACAACACTTTTTGCTTCTGTTTGATGTGAGCGAATACATTTGCCACCCAATTTCCTTTGCTCTCCCATATAAAGAGCCAACAAAACCAACATGAGAAACAGTTTCCCTCGACATGCTGTCTCATGCCGTTGTAAAATATCAGCTTCTCAGAGTTGCCAGCCAGCAGGGACTAAACCTCCTCACACCCTTCCCTGCCACATCATCAACAGCATGAAAAAAGTATAGCCTGTACCTTGGTGGCTGTGGCGATCGTGGTTTTGGCTTCTCCTTCTCCTTCTCCCGCTCTCGGTCCCGGTGCTGCCGGTCCTTCTCGTCTCTTTTGATGCGCTCCCTCTCTCTTTCCCATTCCTCTTTTCTTTTCTGGCGCTCCTTGTCACGCTCCCGTTCTCTCTCGCGCTCCCGTTCCCTCTGCCGCCGCTCCCGTTCACGCTCTCTCTCCCTCTCGCGTTCTCGCTCGCGCTGCCTGTTCTCCCTCTCCCTCTCTCTTTCCCTTTCCTTGTAAAATAATGATTAAGTTGCGTTAGGAGTTTTGACCCACATGTTCATATGATGTTCCTTCAATAATCTAACATGGCATTTAAATTCCCCCCACCCCCAACTAGCCACACATGCCGTGATGGAATCCTTGAGATAACCTTTATTCCAATGGTTTCTCTCTGCGAGGAGGGCCAGTTCTTGAGTTACTTGAGCAGTGTAGTTGTATCCCTCCCAGCATGAAACAAAGAAACCACACAAGAGGCTTCCATGAGCTGGTTGCTCCCCATGTCAGCAGCAAGGACTGATGATAGGTCTTGCAGTCGTTAAGAGTCGTCAACAGGCTCATCACATCTATCTGCCAATCACCCATTCCCACCACCCTTCTGAGTAATACCCCTCCCCACCTTCTCACTATATAGAAGGATCGGGCAACTTCTGTTTCAGTGTATCTGAAGAAGTGTGCATGCACACGAAAGCTCATACCAAGAACTAACTTAGTTGGTCTTTAAGGTGCTACTGGAAGGAATTTTTTTTGTTTTGACTATGGCAGACCAACACGGCTACCTATCTGTAACTTTGTATACTGTGTTAGTTTTATGATGTTAGCAGCCCTGAGCCCGGCTCTGGCCGGGGTACAAATAAAAATTTATTATTATTATTAAATGTTATTGGAACAACACGAGATGCACACACTAAAGTTGTGAACACGGCACTCAGGTAACACAGGAACTGGGTCAATGACTTGGGCTAAACTGTCTGGATCAACCTACTGCAGAATAAAAGCTCAGCTCGTGAGAAGAGGATGCATTTACCTACCTTACTCAATCTGTAGTTCCGGTATGGATCTGGGTCTGTGTACTGTACCCTGAAGTTCTCATACTGCCCGCCTCGCCAGAAGCGTTCTATATCATAATCATAATAAGGATCCGCATAAGGGTCAAGCCTGCAGAGGAATCAAGAGAGGGTAAACATTCAAATGAAACAAAACTCCTGTTATTGCCATCACTGCCTAAAAGAAAGAAATGACTCCCATGCCACATTTAGCACACAACATGTGCTATCTAATAAATATTTTAAATTTTATTTTAAAGAGTGACCTCTTATCACCAAACATGGCATATCCACCCAGTGTCTTTAAAAAACCCCCAACACAAACAGGCACAGGTGTGCATGCTTAGCATCAGAACGTAAGATAGCAGCTGGAGCTGGGCCCTCCTCAACCACGGAAAGCTCAGAAAGCTGTGAGGGCCCTGGTCAAGGGAGAAGAGGTGAAGCCTCTGCAAGTTTGGTAAATAAAGGTATTGGGGCATAGAGGGGACTTCACCACAACCATGGCTGTGGTTTTACTTGATGACCTTCCTTCTGAGGATGTCATCAGAAAATGCATACCGCTGACCAGATGTCAATATGCATTTCATTATTTAGGAATGCTGCAGTTACTATAAACTTTCATGAGACGCTGCCAGCACCTGGAAGCCTCCACACCTGAATGCACCAAGTTAAGATTTGGTCAATTGGAAGCCAAGCCTTACGCAGCAGCTGGTATTGACCGAAGAATTTCAAAGAATTGCAAGGGATCAAAATGAAAGCAACATGGGCCAGCTGTAAGCACAACAGAGATTAGGGACTGCTTACCCATAGTTAGCGTTCTCTTTGATGTCCACCTCACTGGAGTTTTTCAAGAAACCGAGGGGAGGAGGAAAAAAAGAGGAGATTTATGAAGCTCTCAGCCATCTTCACACATCACAAGCCATTCTCAATGCATGTTAAAATTGTTTTGTAAAAAAATAACTCTTAGGGGAAGGGCAGTGATGCAAGTCTTCTAGAAAATTTTGAACTGGAAATTTTTTCGGTGCTCTAAACTGAGGTTGGATTTAGTACATTTGACCTATTTAGCAAGCAAAAACTATAGACAAAGATGCATATTTGTGTTCATTTTATGTGCTATATAAATATCAAAGGTTCTTCTTCCACCTTTAGCCAAAAGTAAACTATCTGATTGGAGAGAGGGGATCAATAATACATATTAAAATGTGGCTTCAATGATTAAATTCAAATCTTTATTTGGAATTTTGTTGTGTTGGAATATTTGCTAATATTTTAAGACATGATGACTCACTTGCATAGTTTCCTATTCTCCCCCCCCCCCATTTTGAGTGGGAAACTAAAGGCACAGAAAACTGTTTTAGCACTGGCATCATAAAATTTATTACCAGTGGGTCCCAGGGCAGGTTGCAAGAATTTAAGCATCAAAATTTAAAACAGCTGAAACAGATCATAATAATGGGAATAGGGTGGACCCTGAAAACACACATCTCAGCTGTCAAAGGTCAGCAAAAAGATGCTTTATCTTAAACATTCATCACATCATTCCAAAAGAAAACACTTCCTAATGTAAGATTTTTTTTCAAATGGGGGGGGGGAGAGAGGTTTTCCTATTTTTTTTTCTTTTTGTGTGGGTCTTCACACCTGGGGGCGGGCATCCCCTGTCAATCACTCGATAGCACAATGATGTCAGGCGAGCTGTTTTGTCTTCACTGAAAAAATGCTACATAGTGGTGCCTGCAAATCCCCTTTGGCCCAGCCGCTTATTTTCTTGCCTCTCACCTGATGCCATATATGGGCATGGCTTGGCCAAAACAGCCTGGAAAGCCAAACGAGAAGGCCTGGTGGGCCTAATTAGACATGTGGGTTGAAGGTTCCCCATCCCTGGGGGAGTATATTAATTAACATCCTAATTTTACCTGCCTCAAGAGCACATGAGCTAACAGCAAGCACTCAGTTTGACTGGTATTATATCCATGCTGTTTTAGAAAGAGAAAACTTTCAGTCCAAAAATATAGGGTCAGAACCCTTTTCCGTAATGGAAACCTGCCTGTTTTCAGTGTTGTGGGATATTTATTAAAAACTGCGTGCAAAGAAAAGCTGATTTCTGCATCCTGAACAAAAGATGAAAAAGGTGCATCTTTGTAGAATTCATTTTACACTGAACCCCAAAGCTCCCCCAACAGACAACCTGACCCACTTGCAGCCCTGCTCAACAAGGTTTCACAGTAACTGTTTCCAGGTTTCTTTTCACAACCATATGGACCAGAACCTTGATTTAAAATATGATGATACCAAATTTAGCACTTGTGTGTGATGCAACTGAGGAAGCAGGGAAGAGACATCTCCCTGTCTGGAGGGCATCATTCATTATGCTAGAAATGGAAGGTCTCTCTATCCACCTAGGCTCCCTTTACTCAATGCACTGCCTGTACTAAGTAGGTTAAGCTTTGTGAGCTAGTGATCCATTGGGGTGACTCATGAAGGCTGGGATCAGCTGCCATGCCAACCAGGACTGTGATCCGTACACAACAGCCCACTCACGGCTGCTGGGTCGCCAGAGAAGCCTGCTTGACCTACTTTTTGCAAATGATGGGGCCCACCTTGCAACACAATAATGTTAAAAAAAAACCTTTAAGTATTAGAAGCATGAAGCTGGGATGATACTGGGAATTGCATTGGGGCAAGTGCAGGAGGTCATGACTGCCTTAGCAACATAGCACACCAGGAAAAGGCAGGCTTGTGTGACTGTTTTCAGTTGGGCTAAAACAGAAGACAATTGATGGAAAGAAATATAGCTATCACACTTCACGTGTGCCCCTCTATATGGAGAAGAGTGTTGCACGGAGAAGACCCCCCCTTGAATACCAAGGAAGGGCTCTTGAAGCGATGAGAGCAAGTGTGTGTTGCTACTGAACAACACAACAAAGTGCTGGATAAGCCAACACTGCCCTCTGGAGGACTGCAGTCAGATCCACAGAAGCCAGCCTGCTCAAGTCCGCATTCCTGCCACAAGACAGAATTAGACAGTTGCGTCTTACGTCGAGTCCCGAACATCCCGAGTAATACGATAGTTCCAGTCCCGGAAAAATTCATTCTCTTTGTCAAACTCGCGCTCGTCCTCTCCGATGGTCACCGTGAACCGTTTCTCCTCAAAGTCGGGCTCCTGCTCCTTCCTCATTGTGGCCTTCTTTAACACCTAAGCGGGCGAGAGGTAAGGAGTCGTCCGTCTAGAACAGCCTTTGCCAGCCTGGTGCCCTCCAGATGTTTTGGACTACAGTGTCTATCGGCCCCAAACTGGTTGGCCCCCAAACACCTGTCAAGCACCAGGGTGGCAAGGGCTGTCCTAGAGCAGAGGCAGCAAATCCCATTCTGTGGCATAATGACCCACTGCAGAAGTGCTAATATCCCAACAATTTATTTCTCATCTTTTCAAATATCAACTACAACCTAGTTTTGTTTTTTTAAATAATAATGGATCATATTTTAAAACACATTACAATTTTGAGGTAACATTTAATTCTCTGTGTTTGTTTGTTTTTTAGAATCATAATGACAGAATCCCAGACCACATGCTAAGGCTGAGCTACACAAACACACTTTTTCAAAAGCTTAAGCTGTTTCCTTTTGTTTTGAAAAGTTGTCACTTTTTATTCTTTTGGAATAAAAGCAGCTGCCATCTCCCAACTGGAAATGAGCACTATTCATTTCCTAAAGAACACTGCCCTTTGCTATTTACTGCAGCCTTCTCAACCCTGGTGCCCTTCAGATGCTTTAAGAGACTGTAAGTCCCATCAGCCCAGCCAGCATTGCATGGGAGTTGTAGTGAAAAAGATCTAGAGGGCATCAGGTCAGGAAGGACTGGCTTACTGCAAATAGCACCTTCAGAGGCAGAGAGCAGCCAGGGTCAGGGTAAAGGATATATTTTTGGAAGGAAACAAGTGCAAGACCCCGATCCAGATTGGGACAGGTTTTCTTCAAAGTAAAAGTAGCCACTGAAACAGGATTTTTAAAATGTGCTTGGTCCTTATTAGTTGTTTTAGCCTTGCTTTTCTCACAGCCACTCACTGCAACAAACATCACCAAGGATGGAAATGAAGCATTTTGGATACGAACTGATAAACCAAGAATGCTGGGTATCCTTCTGTTTGTTTGATGATGATAATAATGATGATTTTAAAAAGCACCATCTTGGAATGGGGAAACCCAGCCAGATGGGTGGGGCAAAACAAACAAACAAACAAACAAAATAATAATAATAATTATTATTATTATTATTATTATTTCTTCACTGTGTTGCTAGCTGCTTTTAACAGGCTCCAGAGATTCAGATTATCACTATTATAATTTATTACATTTATCAGTTGCTTTATACAAAATAAAAAGTCTCAAGGTGATTCAGCAAGGTAAAATACAACAAATAAAAGCAATTTTAAAAAAGCCATACTAAACACTAAATACTTTTACTTGAGTAAAAGATGAACACTGCTGCAGGAGACAACTCTCATTAACTAAAGGCCTGAGTAAAGAAAGAGGTTGTAGCAGTCCACTCTTACCAATTTCATTTATACGTATAAAAATAAGTTTCATCATCCTGAGTACAATAATGGAACTGGATATGGAAAACTCTTGACTCAGCCATGCGGGCTCTTGGTGGCCTATCACGTGCTGTCATGCATAAGTCACAGTGAACGCAGCTTTTGCTTTTGTGTTTTGAAGAGTAACCTGCGTGGCAATCTCAGCCTTTTCAAGAAAAGCACACACTTTTGTTGTTCAACTCAATATTTAAAGAGGGTTTCCTAGGGAACTTGCCCAAAATTTGAGAGAGAGATAAGATTGCACAGCGCATGGTCACTGAGGAAACAATGTGCTTACTATAAGAAAGGGCAATATACTGTTCACTAGCGGAGCACGTGTTTTGCATGAGATGCAAACACTAAAGGGGTGAACTTTAAAGTGGTGCAATCTTCCATCATAGAACCTCAAGCAGCCGAGCCGTGTGTGCGTAGATATATCACTGCTGGATAACTTGAAGAGCCACTCAAGTCAAGAGTTGATACTCCTTAGCAAGGCAGATCAATTGCCTATCTCTAGGGCCCCAATTCCAACATAATGAGAACAAGCAAGTGACAGCCTTGAGCTTGCATGCTCTCTTTACTCCTCCAGAGGTGAGACACTTTAGGTCACTAGTCGCCAGAAAGAGCAGAGCAGAGTTTCCCTTTTTGTCTGGATGGGGGAAATGCCACCATCAGAAGCCTCCCGTTTCCTCCCCTTCTGTATGAGCAGACAATCCCAAGGCTCATGTCTACTCATTCCTAATTATCCAAGTGTTGATTTGGAGGAGATTCTGAATACCTGTGAACAGCAGCCTAGTACATGCTCTTGGTTCATATGTATTTTTCCTGTTTGTCCCCAGACAGCTGCTTTACCTCTTTCGCATGGCGGAGTCCCCGTTCCCAAGCACTTTCTGCTGGAGGGTCTGGAGGCGGAGGTGGCAATATTTCATCAACTACAGGGGCTCCCTTTTAAGAAAAGAGAAGAGGATGGTTTCAGAATGAGGTGACACACATTTTCATTAGGCCCTCTTTCCCTTTCTCCCGGCCCATTGCTTCTGTTCTGTTCAGGGAAGTTAAATGAATTTGCCCAAGGGCGTAAAAATATTTATTTTTAAAGAATAATAAGAAATTGGACTGCCCTACCTTAGTGAATGCTTTATCTCAAAGTCTCTGCCTTCACCAAGGGAAAGGGGAAATCTTTAAAAGGTTTTTGTTTTAGCTTTAGTCCTTTAAGTATAGGCAGTATTTGCACATGAAAATGAAACATCTTAGAAAGCTAATGACAGGAAAAATGTATGCCTTTACAAATAACTCAGGGGAGCTTCTTGCTCCAAATGTGCATGTTACTGCATACTCAGACTGGTTTGCTTTAGGATTTCAGCAAAATTAAGGGAACGTTCCTTCACATGGCAGCTGCACTCTCTCAACACAAGAAGAGTTGTGTATCTTCCATAAAATCTGGTCAGAAGGTTGTGTTCCAAGAATCTTAACAACAATGAAATTTGTTTGCATGAAAGAGTTTTGATGAAGGAAATTGGGTTTTCAAGGGAAAAACAGGCATGATCTGGAAAAGGGGTGAAGGGGCCTTTAATGAAGCTTCTTTCTGGAAAACAATCTTAAAATTTAAGGAAGGACTGCAGCCCCCAACTTCCAGGCAGAGGCTTGCAGTCTACTTATTCCAACATTCAAAATCAGATACATCAACAAGATTTGACTATAAACATAAAGCTAGCCCCCGCCCCCCTACTGTCTGGGTTTTCAGGGATGGTGAAACTGTGGCCTTCTGGACGTTGTTGGACTCTCATCAGTCCCAGCAAGCATAGCCAGTGGGCAGGGATGGAGGGAGTTTTAGACTAATAACATCTGGAGGGCCACAGGTTAGCCAGCTCTGCTTTAGGAAATAAATCATCATGCTTAGAGATCACTTTATTTGCAACCTCCACTGTTGGAGGCAGTACCGTATTTTTCGCTCTATAGGACGCACCGGACCATAGGATGCACTGGACCATAGGAGGGGGAGAACAGGCTCCGCAGAGCTCCGTCTCCCTGTTCTGCCTTTGGGCTTAGCAGCGCAGTCTGCATTCACTCTATAGGACGCACACACATTTCCCCTTAATTTTTGGAGGGGAAAAAGTGTGTCCTATAGAGCGAAAAATAGGGTATGTTTCTTGAGCAGCAGTTGCCAGGTAACACACCTGAGGACTCACTGGAGTATCTGCTTGTCCACTGTGAAAACAGGATGTTGGACCAGCTGGGCCTCTGGCCTGATCCAGCAGTCAGGCTACTCTTATGCTCTTATGACCATGCTTATATGCAAGTGGCTTTAAAGTTGTGGCTCAGTGGCAATGCATGTGGTGTCAGAATTTGAGGTCATTACACCCTGAAACATGGTACATGCACAACTAAGTGATCTCAAATAATGGGGCTGAAAATGAGCCCTTGCCACCGGAGGCTGGTTGGTGTGGGGTTTTTGGCCAATCCAACCAGGGCTGACAGTATAGGGCTAAGTGAACCATTGCTTTTGGAACACAAGAGCTGAGATTTTCTAAAATAAGAATCCATAGGCCAAACAAAAAGGCACTGAAGCTTGCACATGACCCAGAGGGACAGCACTGTCCCCATCTCACCCACTCATGGTTTCTGCAAGCATCAACAGACAAACACAAGAAAAGGTGTAGAACATGGAAATGCCAACTTGATGCTCCTCACTTGCTCCAGTGTTTGCATATCTTCCAATGCAGTGTAGCCTGGTCAACCTCTTGGCATTTTAAATTAAACCATGAATGATAATGCATTAAAAAAGTAATATTACCATACCCAAGGATTGGCTGGCATCAGAGGGTGAGGCCCAGGGCCAATAGGTGGTGCGCCATTTGGAGAGAAAGGATCTGGCTTGGAGATCAAAGAGTAGTTTCCTTTGTCATTTACACCAGGATGAATGAACCGACAGTTCATACCCCAAGTACAATGCCCTATGGGGGGGAAGCACACAGAAGGTTTAAAATCTCCATGAATGGAAAAAGTAAAAAAAAGAAACACAAAAAAGTGACTGGAGCATATGTATTTGCTGCTTCTTTATGAATTGCCCAGGTCCTAAGAGAACTTTGGTGAACAGCTTTTATTAAAACCTAGCAGAGCTCAGAGAGAGAGTTGTATCCTTGACCCAAGTGCCAGGAGAAGCTCATCTTTCCATTGCCATATAAGTGTCCAACTAATCCCACCCCTGAACCTGGAAGGTGGTTAGCTTAAACAAGTTATCTCAGAATAGTTCAATCAATTAAAAACCTTCCGAGCAACTTAAAATGTGCCACTGATTAACCGCAAAGGCATTTTTAATTAACTAAACATTTTTAATGAAACATTTTTAGCACAAAGTACTTATAAAAATTACGGATGGAAAGTACCATCTTGAAGTACCATCTTGAAAGTATTTTGTATGCAAAATAAATGCCTCTTTTACAAGGATGCCTACCTCAACACAAGCATCTCTCTCCACCACCTAAAAACAAAGCAAGTCTGCTTCTTACTTCAGAAATATATTTATCCAGGTTCCAATTTAATTAACTAATTAATCAAGTAAAACACATAGGATTTCTTTAGTTTCTATTTAAGACTGGAAATGACATGCATTTTTAATGTCCTTGTTTTTATTGTCAAACAGCATTAAAGCCAACCAATTAAACATATATTTTAAAAGGCCATGGAAAATCTGACTGCCACCCACTGCAGCCATGATGGTGGGACTTGAGATCCAGATATAATAAAAAATGGCTTCTGAGTCGTAATTACTGAATGGAGTGTTCATATAAAAATGCAGGATGTCTTGGAATACCAAAGACCATGGATGTGGGTTCTTTCCTCGTGCTCAGCTTCTGGCTATCCCAAATATCTGAGTGGTTACCGCTACAAACATACCAAGTGGCCCTGCCAGGATCTGATCCCAAAGGATTCTTATGAAGGCCTTTTGTGATGCTTGCTGTGACAACATTTGAGAACGTTTGATCTGATGTGACTTGATAACATACAGAAATAAACCTGGATAATGCACTATGTTCAGAAGCCACAAGTCTCGGGAGGCAGGATGGCAGAGGCAATAAGTCCTGACAGCTGCCTCTGCAAGCTCCAGGAGAGAGGGAGCACTTGGGCATGGCTCCTACCTTTCATGAAAAATCGACAGGTGAGACGCGGCCTCACTTTCCTGTCATTTGGGTCTTTTACCTCTCCCTCTTCCAGATCGTCATCCTGAAAGACATAAAGAGACAGGTATGTAAAAGGCAGATGCTGCTACAGCAGCAATGCTGCCAATTATAGAGTATTTGCTTTGCTACCCTTCAATCAAGTTGCACATTGGGAGACAGGTGAAGCCAAACACTTTCTATCCACCTGCTCCTGAACAGGTGGACGGTGAGCCACGTTCCACCAGCCATAACAGGTCCAACTGAGTCTGTCATTCTCTTCCTCCTTTCTCTGCTACGTGTGGCTCTTAAGAAAAGTCAAACATTTGTAAACGTTCAGCATGGCAAGGGCAGGGCTTCTCTGTGTTACAGAGTACTCTCACCTGCCAGTTATCTTCCACTATTAAACATACAGCTCTATCTCTTCTCAGCTATCTATCCCTTTCCTCCAATTGCAAAACTGCCAAAATATGGCAGATTCAAGAGCTGGGCTCCAAGCAAATCTTGTAAGATTTAAAGCAAGTGTACAGACACTTTTTGATTTGCACAAGGTAACTTTGGTGAATGATAAATTAACCTGGAACAGATTTTTTTTTTATCTCCCCACCCTCGCTTCCTGCCTCCCACTTGGGCACAGAACATTAAAAGTGCTTTATTTTATTTCTGGGTTTCTCCTATTCATAGATCTGCAGGATGCCAGGTATGCAGATGAGGTTCCACCCTATTAAGTTCAGAGGCAATCTGTTTACAAGCAGCTCTTAAAGAGAGCAAATAAAACCATTTCACTGTTCATTGCTACAAAATCCAACTCTCCCCGTTTCAGGAAGAACAGTGCAGAATTACAATGTGGTACAGCTCTTACATAGTCATAGAAATGAAAAGCCACACCACAGCACAACATGTGGAGAGAGAAAGCTGGGTGCTCTTTATGACAGTCTTCAAAACTAATAACTCGGAAAAGTCAGACAGTAAAAGCAAGATTGCTTTTAACCAAATGAGGGGCCAGAGCTCAGCAGTACAGCATATGCATTAGATGCAGAAGGCCAGAAGCTGTGTCCTTGGTATCTTTTTTTGGGGGGGTGGGGAAGGTGGGAGAAGTTACTTCAGTGGTGGGCTACATACTCTGCATGCAAGAGATGCCAGCTTCAATCATTGGCCATGCTGGATGAGCTTTTCTGTTTCTTATTTAATTATTTTATTCAGTTTTATAAATAAATAGGAAATACAAAGTAATTCATCACTAGGGCTGGGTGATAGATACCGTATTTTTCTCTCTATTACACGCAGATTTTTTCTCCTAAAAAGGAAGGGGAAATGTCTGTGCGTGTTATGGAGCGAATGTGGGGGGGGGGGGTCCCTGGAGCCGATTAGGGGAGCGCAGGAACAAAAATCAGCAAAAATCAACCGTGCGTTGTGTCGGAGAGGGAAACCTGAAAAGAGGAAGTGGTTGCTTTCCTGCATTCTGCCTCAGGGTCTTACTGCCCACCCTCCTCTGTTTCGTTGCTGTGTTTGCTCAAACGGAACAAAGAGCAGGCAAATCCCCTCCCCTCCAGGCAAGCAGAGGGGAAAGCAGAGGTCTTTCCTTCTAATTCCTCTCGTGCTCCTCGCAGGCAGCCAGAAAACATGCAGGAGGAGAGAGAAAGCTGGCTTCGGTTTGTGGAAACTTTTGCCTTTCTTTCCTCCCTCCCGTAAAATCTCTCTCCTGCTTTCTTAGCCAGCTGCTTCTCTGCACACCGCTCTCTTGTCCCTTCTGTGTTTTTCCTTCATTCCCCACTTAAAATGTAGTTACAAAGCATGGATCCACATGGATCCTCAGGATCTTTGCATTGGGCCACCCCAAATTCACCATCAGATCACATAGCAGCCTGCCCCCCAAAAATCACACACCCACTGTTGCCTGGGGCTGCAATGGTGCAAAAACGTGGTTAAAAAGCATGGATCCACATGGATCCTCAGGATCTTTGCATTGGGCCACCCCAAATTCACCATCAGATCACATAGCAGCCTGCCCCCCCAAAATCACATACCCACTGTTGCCTGGGGCTGCAATGGTGCAAAAATGTGGTTAAAAAGCATGGATCCACATGGATCCTCAGGATCTTTGCATTGAGCTACCCCAAATTCACCATCAGATCACATGTCTGTGGCCACAGCATGAAGCACAAAAATGATACATCCACTGTTTCATTCAGAATTTTTTCCCTTGTTTTCCTCCTCTAAAAACGATGTGCGTGTTATGGTCAGGTGCGTGTTATAGAGCGAAAAATACGGTATATCAATATATTGTCCAAAACTGGTTTGAAGTCCATATAGTGATATTGGTTTCATTTTTGACCTGGCAATATATCACGAATCATGGTGTGTGTGTATGTGCGCACTATGCAAAAATTACAATATGGGAAAAACCGTGAAGCCAGCCAATGCTTCTTTCAATTCCTGCAGTCCCTGTTAACTCTGCCAGCTTAGCGCTTCCCTGCCTCCTGCAGGGGGCAGCAAATCACAAGAGCAGGAATGGGCAAAAATCACGATGCAGGGAAAACTGTGAAGCCAACCAATGCCTCTACATAGCTCCATCCTTATTTCAGACATTGTGATATATTGGTATATTGCAATGTTTAGCTGGTGATATATCACAATGTTTAAAGCCAGTTATCACTCAATCCTGATGTTCACCTCTACATACCGTATTTTTCGCTCTATAAGACGCACCAGACCACAAGACGCACCTACTTTTTGGAGGTGGAAAACAAGAAAAAAAGTATTCTGAATCTCAGAAGCCAGAACAGCAAGAGGGATCACTGCGCAGTGAAAGCAGCAATCCCTCTTGCTGTTCTGGCTTCTGGGATAGCTGCGCAGCCTGCATTCGCTCCATAAGATGCACACACATTTCCCCTTACTTTTTTAGCAGGGAAAAAGTGAGTTATAGAGCAAAAAATACGGTAGTTCCATCCTTATTCCACACATTGTGAAATATCGGTATATCGGGATGTTTAGCTGGTGATACATCGCAATGTTGAAAACCAGTTATCACCTAGCCCTATTCATCACACCTCGTTATCATCCTTATTAAAATGCTAACAAATATGTTATTTGACTCTGTCCCACTTTAGAATTGATGGAAAAAGAACATACCCTCCATGGCCCCACCACTCTCAATGGAAGCAGTTATACAAGCACCTACCTGTAAGTGAACTGAAATGCAGGGAACTGGTCCTGCACTACAAGCAAGTAGAGGATGTTACAGAAATGCCATAAACATTCAGAGTCATCACATACCTTGCAATACATTTACCCGTATGGTTTGAGGGATGGGAAAGACTAGTTACACAGTCACATAAAGCGAGCCAAGACAGAGATCATGCATTCCAGATTCTGGCATAATGGGAAGGAGGCTGTCGATTGTGATTTTGTCATTAACATACATAAGAAAAGGGTACCAAACTGAAATGTTTTTTTTTCTTTGAAATGCCATAGGACTCTTCCTTTGAGTGTCAATTTTAACACAAAAGCTAAAAGTCACACTTTGTGCTACCAGTAATCTATTGTAACCCCTTATAAAGTTTTCCAGCGTTTAGCCATTCACCATGCTGGCTGTGCTGATGGGAGTTGTTGCTTGCAACACCTGCAGGGTACCATGTTGGCGACCCCAACCTAAAAAATTCTCAGACAGCAGGGATGGGAAAGGGCTCTGGGCCTAAAGTCAAAATAGCTGACTTGGTATATGGCAGCTTTCCATGTTCATATGGATAGCATGAAAGAGCAGGCCTTGTATTGCATTTATCAGAGAGAACCTCAGTAGTGGATTTTAAAAAGAAACCTTCCAGGATGAATAACGCTTCTGCTATGCTCTCTTTTAAGAGACTGACTGGCATCCATTTCCAGAAGCAGGTAGGTTTTAAGGCAACTGATAATGCAGAAATGCCAAGCTTACATGAATAGGCACAGGTTATGTGTATGCTTCAGACAGTCCACAATCAAGTTTCCTGCCACCAATAAGCAGATAGAAGGAAACTGTCAAATGATATTTACTTGAGCTGACAGGCCTCACTAGACTACATGGAGATGCAAACCTAGGTATCCTGTTAACACATGAAGCTGCCTTATTCTGAGTTACACCACTGGTCCATCTAGCCCAGGAGGATTTACTCTGGCTAAGGGTTCTTCCCTAAGACCACAAGCAAAAGGAAGCCCTTCCTAGCCTGTCTGTCTTCTAACTGGAGATATGCAAGGGACAAACTTGACACTTCCTACATACCAAGCATGCACTCCAACTCAAGTTGTGGACAGTCCCTTACTATTTCCGAGAACCAGGAGGAGAATGAACCAAAGTAAAGGGGAAACTCCCCTGCTGCTACTCCAGCTCTGCATACACTGAGAATGTGGGGAAGAAACTCAACACTACAGTCCCTCCCAAGATTCTGCAAAAGAAGATCATGGGCTCTGTCTAGATGCTTCTCCATCCCTTTGTTCCTAGGTTTTCTATTTCTGAATGAGGGTGCTTAGAAAGAATGGCCTGATATGAGATTGACTGGCATCTGGAGATTCCAATGATGATAGTGCTGTGAGACGCATGTTAAGATTCCTCTAGCTGAAAATGTACCTATGAAAACAGCCCACAAGAGGTCCTTTTGCATATGCAGGAGGTCTAGGAAACAGAAGCGGGAGGGGGAGTGCTGTGTAAATCCTGGGTTCCAGGGACACTGGCTGGGGGCAAAACCTGAGATTGTGGGAAGGAGGTGAACTTACATCAATCTCGCCATCATCAATTTCTCCGTCTTCCTCTTTCTTCTTCTCTTTGACAGGCTCCTGCCCACCTCTTTCGTCGTCGCTCTTTGTGCCAGATTTTTTCTCATCCTCAGGTGGTTCATTTACCTTCTCTTCCTCCTCCTCTTCCTCTTCCTCTCCCCCAGCCTTGTCAGTCTCATCGTCAGCTGCAACGGTGCTTGGCTCCTCGGGAACCTCCTCATCATAGTCCAGTTCATGTTCGTCTAGTTCCCGAGTGACTGAGGAGGCTTCATCACCCAAGTCGTTTGCCTGTTCTTCCTCATCCTCCTTGACAGAGAGAGAGCCCTTAAGCTCCCTGCTTTGCTCATTATTGTCGGAGTCCTGAGACTTGGTTTCACTTAAGCAGTCCTCTTCACCTGAGTGGTTCTCTTCTTCTTCGTCCTCCTCCTCCTGACTCAATATTCTGTCAGCATCTTCCTTGCCTTCTCCCAAAGTGGTGCCCTGCCCGTCCTCTCCATCCTCTTCTGAGCCACTCTCTTTGAGGATTTCGTCATCAGACAGCAGCTGGTCCTCGTCCTCTTCCTCCTCTTTTTCGTCGGGAGAGCGGGGGTTTTGCTCAGGGCTTTTGGAAACATCCATCAGGGCCTGCTAGTCTGTAATGGAGAAAAATAAATAGCTGGATGGGATAATGTGTAAACATTCAGCCTCAAGCATTCCTACATTTCCCAGCTGTCAGATACAGATACTCCTTAAAAATGAATCCTCAGTTTACAATCCAAGCAGAGAGACTGGGCCTGCTTGCCTAACAGTACCATTTAAGACCACAAGTGTTCAAACCAGAATTTCATCTGCTCCCAGTTACACAGAGTAGACTATATAAGACAGTAACTTGTGAACCATAGTAGATGTATGTGAAAGGTGAGGCCCACAGCATTTTACCAAGTACAAGCTTCTGATCCTTATGGAGGAGAATGTGTGCAGTTTGCCTGGGGTTGGGGAGGCACCTAGCACCAGGTGTTCTGCACACATAACTCTTAAAAAGGACATAGCCAGTTATTTCCCATGTCCTCTGCACAATACATCTAACCTCTTTCCCCATGTGTTACCTTTATTCTCCTCTTAATTTCTTCCTCCCCAGCACTACCATATCTAAACATAGCAGAAAAAAACATGTTTTCTGAAAGCCCAAAACATGCAAGGATAATTAATGTGAGATCAATAGATTTGTGTAATTCTCAAATTTACTCAGAATGTAGACGTGTAAATTCATGACACAATGGTATGCACACAGTCCTCATTTGAATTTTTATCCCTAGGACTTAGAACAGATTACAACCCCTAGACAGTAAAAATTCTGGGGCAGCAGTCTTAGTCTGTTGCAGCAAAATCACAGAGGATCTTGTGGCACCTTAAAGACAGGTGGCACCTTAAAGTGGCAGATGCCCACTTCACCAGAAACTCTTGTGGTATCAAATTGGATGCAAAATTATGACACTTGCCAGGATTGTGGGTGGTCTTAATGCCCCAAACTCTTCAGCTAAACAAGAGAAGGCTGAGCAGATGGATTTTAAAGACATAAGGCATCAGCCACAGCTACACTGAGAGGAGGACAAACACAAACCCCTATGTTGCAAAATGTAACAATCTACAAAAATGCAAATACAACACGCTGGCTAATAACTGTTAGCGAATATATAATCGGTTATGATGTCATTCAAAATATACGAAAAAGCCACTTCAAAATGATGTATATATTATACAACACATCTCACAAAACATACAAGTAACTAAAAGTTGTTATATGCATCAGAGTCAAAGAATCAAAGAAATCAATGAATAGCAAGGAATGCCAAGCCATCTCTCAAAGGAAGACGTCTCACAAAAGTCTCAAAGGAAGACGTCTTTCCAAAGTTTCAAAAGGACAGTATATCCGGAACAGTTCAACTGTTTCGGAATACAGTGGTACCTTGGGTTAAGAACTTAATTTGTTCTGAAGGTCCATTCTTAACCTGAGGTACCACTTTAGCTAATGGGGCCTCCCACTGCCGCTGCCGCGCCACCACCACGCGATTTCTGTTCTCATCCTGAAGCAAAGTTCTTAACCCGAGGTACTATTTCTGGGTTAGCGGAGTCTCTAACCTGAAGCGTCTGTAACCCAAGGTACCACTGTAAAGTCTTCATCAGCTGGAAATGGAATATAAGGCACTGCAAGCAATGAATGACAACAAAACTGAGCAACCTGCATGTAAGTTACACAGTAGAACAAAATATATAAAGAGATACATACCGAATAATTATCAATGAAATATTCATACTAGTTGGGATCATGCTAGTGGATCAGTGCTCACTGGATAGTGTAGCTGCTGATGCTTACAACACAAATGCACAGGACATATAAAGTTGACCACTGTATAACTTACATGTAGGTTGCTCAGTTTTGTTGTCATTCATTGCTTGCAATGCCTTATATTCCATTTCCAGCTGATGAAGACTTTATTCTGAAACAGTTGAACTATTCCGGATATCTCCTTTTGAAACTTTGGAGAGATGTTTTCCTTTGAGAGACGGCTTGGTGTTCCTCACTATTCATTGATTTGTTTGATTCTTTGTTTGACTCTGATATATATATAACAACTTCTAGTTACTTGTATATTTTGTGAGATGTGTTGTATGATATATACATCATTTTGGTGGCTTTTTCATGTATTTTGAATGACATCATAACCGATTATATATTCACTAACAGTTTTTAGCCAGCGTTTTGCGTTTGCATTGTTGCACACTGACAGGAGGAACAGGGGTACATCTACGGTGCATATAACAAAAATCAAGAGTAGCAACAATTGGGGGGTGGATGAGGGATGGTATTCCCAGGCTTGGGATGTGGGACGCAGGCAAGAGTGCAACATCAGCCACCGGTAGGTCCCAAACAGCCTGCTGGAGTGAGAAGCATGATGGAGAACAGCAAGCAATGGAAAGACCAAGCTGACATTTTAATGCCATGGCTTTCACTTCTACCATTATTTATCTATTGCCAACAATTCAGCCACAAAGGAGAATTAGCTAACCAATTAGCTAAGGGAGAGAACAATATTGAAGGCAAAGCAGTGACAGTCAGACTTCCTGCAATTGCTGTTTCAACAGCACCATCTTTTTCTCTCTTTCCCTCTGAAGCTCTCATTGTATTGCTTTTCTTATCTCACCTCACAGGGTGGGAAGAAATTAAAGTTCTGGGATGAGTTATCAAACAAACAGATAGCTGGAGTTAATTAGAATCCACTGCCCCTTTACATATGTGCAGAAGTAGTTAACCTGGAGGTTGTTGCCAAATTCTAGAACACCTAGTTGTTTTCTGCCCTTCTAACCCTTTCCCTTATGCTTCCGCTGATATAATTAGTCTTACAAAAGTCAAAGGGCAAATAGGAAGGAACACCCTAAGAGTGTTTTGCAGGTCTTTATGAAAGGGAGGAAACATGTGAATGCAATAGTTTTGCCCCCTCCTCCTTACTAGGCTATAATGGATAGAAAAATGACACTCCAATCTAAGTGCCAACAGCCAATCAACGATGCTGGTTACTGCCAAACCTGTGTGCCATGAACAGCAGGAGACCTAACCTTTTGCCATCCAGATGATGTTGAACTAAAACTCCCATCAGCCATCAGCTGGATGGTTCTGATGGTAACTGGAAGTCCAAAATATCTAGAAGGCAACAGGCTAGCCATCACTGGTGAACATGGATATCCTGAGTACAAGCAAAACCACTGAGCCTTCAGGAAAGGTAGGTTGACTTTGAGTTTTCAAAGTGACTGGAAGATTTAGCTGCATGTTGGGTTGTTTAGAGCCCTCTGCATATATTCTGCCTTAAACATAAATAGACTATGTGTAATATATATGTAATATTTAGGCTTCGTAATGACAATCACTTAAAAAATAGTATGTACAACTTTGAAATAGCCCATTTTTTCTTGTGCTGAGTACATTCAAAAAGCAAATTAATTCATTTTATGGAACAGTACATTTTTAGAAGTTTTTTTTTAAAAAAAATAATCCATTCCACACCACTATATTAGACCCTATGTATTTTCTTTAGAGAAGTGGTAATTAATTTGCAGTCCTCTAGATGTTGTTGTATTCCTGTCAACCCAAGCCAGCATGACGGGGTCAGAGATGATGGGAGTTACAATCCAGCAACAACTGGAGGACCAGAGATACCCAATACTTGCTTTAGAGAACGAAAACCTTCCTCCATATTGCACAGTATTCTTGCGTTTCTCCCCACACTAGGTGTAAAGTTTCTACAGCTAGCCTTGATTTGGGCCTGTATATGTCAACCTTCTTCCTACAGGCACAAAAACAAATAGCTAATATTCAAAAAGTAGACATAAGACACAAAGTGACAAAGATAAAGTGATATTAGTAACACATAGAATGTCCAGGTAGGTAATAAACTCCCAACTTTAAGACCTTTAACTTTAGAATGCTGCAAGAGTGTAATATATACCAGGGCACATATGTATTAGACTGGAGGAATAAAACAGGACTTATTAAAAAGAAAAGTAAAATTAACTGAAGGAGCCCTTAGCACAGTTTGATTCACTAGACTCTTATTTTGAGAATACCTGTACATCAAATTTTGGGACAGATTTGAATTTCCAACTGAGAGAATGTTATCAGGAAGCTTAAAGAATGCTACTAATTGACTTCTATTAAATTGTGGCTCAGGGCAATAAAGTGTAGCTTGGAAGAGCTACCCATAAGTTTGCCATTTCAAAAGCACTTAAAGGCTAGAGATCAGAAACATCTATGACCAAAAGCTTGCTGTACTGGCCATTTTCCAATTATGATTTAAAATGGTTTAATTACTTCAGAAATTATACCCTGCTGAAGACAGGCCCAGAAGTTTGTTTTCAATCTGAAACACCCAAACTTAAAGGTCGGCATTAACAGGCTTACAGAAATGTAGAGAGTCAGAGGAAGATGAGCTGGAATAACTGATTCTAAGGCCAGCTGAAACAGCCAGCTTAAAAACCAAATAAGATTTGAGAGGTAGTGACAGAGATACTTTAGTAAGTCTGGAAGGTAATGCCTAGTTATATTTCATCAGCAAGACTAAAGGAGGCGAAGGTATTTTGCTCACTGACTGTTTAGCTCACAGAATTCCATGTGTGCAACATTGCCCCATGACTTCTCAAGTGACATAAAAGTTGTGCAGACACCAAGAATACCCCTTGTACCTGTGACAAAGCAACAGAAACACTAGAAAAATTATCACCTTCCAAACAATAGTTATGTTTTATACAGCACCCCTCTTAAATTCATGATGATAACAGTGTTAGAAACTCAGATATATAAGCTAAGCACCAAACAGTTCCTTAAACTAAGGTTACAGTCACCAAAACAGAAGGTCTAGTTGTCATTTTGGGGTAAGACAGCTCTAAAGACTGTGACATCTGGCTATTTCTGATGACAACCTTGAGCTAGGTTAAGAACTTTGAGAACTTAAAGAATAAAAGTCACTTGATCCAGGGACAGTCTATATATACTGCCCTATTTCTATCTCTTTCTGTTAATGGTGACATGGACCATTCATAACATAAGAATGTTCTTCACAACTGTAAGCAGGGCAGTGGGGTGGTGTAAGTGAAGACAAGC